AGCAACTGTTCCTTACAAATCCGACCGGCAAAAGGCCCAGGGGACGGCCAAGATTAACCTGGTACAAACACATGGAAGGAATCTGTTCCAGACTGCATTTGTCTTTTGCCGAAGTTTAGACTGTGGCACAGGATCGGGAACGTTGGAAGCTCGCTCTGACCTGTCTGCCACTGCGAGCCGAAAGAAGAAGCTACAATGGAAGGTGAAGAAGATGAATATGATGTCTATTAGCATTGTGGCCCTGATCTCCATTTCAATGCCATCAGCCATTATTTTATGCAAAGGCAGAGTCGACTGCGACTAGGTGGCACGAGCAACGATACTACGTCTTTCTCGTAGTTGACAACAAGGAAACTCTGTAGTTGTTCTATGCACTCCAATGCATACAACACGTCGAATACAGTCGTCACGTGAACTTGTGATGACGGACCACTTCGTACCTTCTTTGGCAAGGTGGAGACTGTTCAGAGTCCATGCCATCATTCCATTGTACATTCTTCCAAGACCATGTACAGTCGATCACTGGCTATGAATGACCTTTGATATACGGTTTTCAGCGTGGTTTATGTAACTTCAAAGCTCTAGCACTCTCAGTGCCCCCCCATGCTGCAAATGACGAAGAGTTACGTAGGACTTAACGCAATGCATGAGTTACTTCGCTTCGTTTGGTTAACTGCCTTACTACCGACAGGGGCCATGGGTGGCACAGTCGATCAAGTGGCTGAGAGGTACTGACAGACAACTGAAGGGCCTTGGGTTTTAGTCGCGGCCGGATGACCGCCGTCTTTATTCTGAGTGCTATTCTTTTGAAAAAAAATAGGACACTACATACTGTACTTATCACATAGCAGTTATTGACTCTGTTTAAAAAAGGCACTCCTGGCTGATGACATGAAAATGGAGATCAGCATTCCATCATTGACTCCATAAATAGAATGTACCGGAATTGAAAATCGACATTCAAGTGGTTGCAAACTTTTTCTTACTTCTGTTTCTATGCCATGTTTAAAATTCTTCTGAAATTGGCGTTCGTTCAGTGCCAGTGTTTGAAATAAGAGCTCTTCTACCATTAAAACCTTCCGTACGATGGTCATAAGCTTGGACAAAAAGCTGTTCGTATAGCTGAAATTTCAGGCGACGCAAAAACGAGTTTGTCTGCTCCGTTGGATTTATACAACAGATTGTTGTTTCATCGATTGGTTATGCCTATTATTTTCTTATCGGATAACCTTTCATATCGTAGACTTTTAATTGTGATTGTTGGTTATGATATTATGTTGTTGACGTATATATTTTGCAGCAACTGTAATTGTCTGTCTGGGTGCACTGGTGTCTGAGTTCGTTTGGAACGGATCGCTGAATCGCTCAGCGTCTTCTGTATTGCGATCTGTGGCTTCGCATGGAAGCCGTTGCTTTTAATGCTTACGTCTGGAAGAGCAACTCGATGTCAGATGGATCGACTTTCTCAGACGAACGCCTGTTGTTTTTTTTCAACGCGTAAGTGGTGCCTAATGGCGACTAACGATCGACCATCGACCGGAAGGCAGCATTCGACACGCATCGCCTTGTTTCTACATACTCGACGTAAAGTCGAAGATTCGAGCGTCGATGAGAAATCACCAATGCGGCTGTTGTTTAGCGACTTAACGGTAGAACACGTTTTTTCTTGGCCGCAAACGCCCAGCTGGTCGAGCGCGTCGGCTGCGGTCGACGGTCGATAACTTCGACGACCGAGGCTCATGCGCACCTACCTCAAAGACTCGCGCCTCAAAGCACGGCACCGCTGTCGGCAGTGGTTCTCTCAAAGCCAGCGA